AAAAAAAAAAAAAAAAAAAGAAAGAAAGAAAGAAAGAAAAAGAAAAGGAAAGAAAAAAGAAAAAGGTTCATAGCACTTCTAGGGCCGTAGAGAATAAACAAGAATAGATTGCTAACAACATTAGCCATATTATCACAGGCCCTTGGAGAATGCTGGTTCCCACTCTTCTTAAAGTATAACAGCCAGTACAAGGTATTGGTATGACAACTGTTGTGAGGCCAAGTGTCTTGGTGGTCAGTACCCGTGGACTGCAGCAGACCCTCAGAGATCTGGAAGTTCAGGATGAGGGATCCCAGAGCCTAGGGCCATCAGGGAAAGCTGGAGAAAGATGCTGCTCAAGTCAGCCTGAGGTTGAGCAAGTTTGGAATAAACAAAAAGGATAAGGCAGGCATTTCTTTGGCTGCCATTCCTCCTCCAAACCTGTGGCAGACATCACTAATGGATCAGCGTGCTTCCTTACCAAGTTGGGACATAGCCTCACAAGCTTGCTTAGCTTCTTAGCCCTTAGCAATATGATAAACTTGGCATTTGGGGAGTCACCTTCTTCTGAAAGGTGGTCAGTTCAGAAGGGTAGACTGGGGCCCTCCAGAAAAAGGCCTTGAACTTTGGCCCAGGAACTGGGACCAAATCTCAAAGGAATTGGAACTGGATGTCAGTTTCCTCAGGTATAAGCATGTGTGGCTCTCAGACATACTTAGTGTTGCTCCAGAATCACCAGGGGGGAGGTTATTAACATATGATTCCAGCCCCCAGCCCCAGAACTCTGGCATCAAAATTTCCAGGGGTGTTACCCAGACCCTCCATTTTAGACAACCTTCCCACAGGGATCATAATCTCATGAAAGTTTGAGTATCACCATCTCAGGTCATTTCTTTTCTTGTCTTTTTTTTTTTTTTGTTTTAAGACAGAGTCTTACTATGTCACCCTTGGTAGAGTAATGTGGCATCACAGCTCACAGCAACCACAAACTCCTAGGCTTAAAGCCATTCTCCTGCCTCAGCTTCCCAAGTAGCTGGGACTACAGGTGTCTGCCACAACGCCCAGCTATTTGTTGTTGTTGTTGTTGTAGTTGTCATTGTTATTTAGCTGGCCCAGTCTGGGTTCAAACCTGTCAGCCTGGGTGTATGTGGCCAGAGCCCTATCCACTGAGCTACAGGTGCTGCCTCAGGTCATTTCTTGATGCAGCTGCTACAGGGCAGGGACTAGGACTCTTACCAAGGCAAGGCCTCAGGCTCACTTGGACCAGGCCTGGCCACTCCTCTCTGGAATGTGGCTGTGGCTCCAAGGCCCACTGCTGAAGTCTTCCCAGGTCTATGCCCCCAGCCACCTTTACTCTAATAACAGTATTTAAATATAGAAAAATTCACACACTCAGGCGTACACGTCTATGTAGTTCCCTAGATCAGTTGACCGCAGCTTCTATTTTGGGACAGATGCTTCTGCCAGGGAGTCCAGCCAGCCTGGAGCAGTCTCTTCTGTCTCAGCTTCCTCCTTTAGGTGCCCAGTGCTCCCACTGGCATCCACCCTCTTTTGGCCTGTCACTTCCTTTCTTAGGCTCGAGTGACAGAGCTGGCAGGGACCTCAGAGGCTGCCCCCAGCTTGGTGGTGGCCACCCTTCCATGTGATTCTCACTTACCCGGCCATTATCCAGCTCCATCACCACTCACTTGTGGTCTGGGATGAAATGCTTCTCCCTGTTCTCAGCCTACCCACTGTGGGGTGGGTACCACCCCCACAGGTGAGCAAAGAGGCCTGGTGGCACTTCGTGACTAGTGGCTTGTTCTATTCCTGCTGCTGCTATTCTCCACTCCTTCCTCTTCCTCCTCAGCACAAGGCTACTATTTATAGAATGCCCCCCAGGTGCTAAGTGCCAGGCATCACCCTAAATACTTCATCTGCATTGCCTAGTTGACCTTTCCAGCAACCATAGAGAGGAAGTGTTATCACCATACTCATTTTGCCAATGAAGAAATTGAGGCACAGAGGGGCAGGCACTGGCCCAAGATCTGCTGCCGGTGAGGGTTAGAGCTCAGCCTTCCCCAGGCCTCTGTGGCTTTTTCCCAGATCCTGTACATTCATGCTCAGGAGGGTCTGGGGGTGGGGGACTGACAGAGGGGAGGCAATGGGTTTCCTGTGGCTTTCATCTTCCTAGCTTTGGCCTGGCTCTCTTGGGAGGGGAAAATCAGCTGATGTTGATGAGCCACTATTCCCAAGCAAGGCCAGGCAAGAAGTGAAGAGGAGAGGGGTGACATCTTCAGGCTGTGGAGTCAAGCAGGCCCAGGTTCAAGTCTTGGCTCTGCCTCCTCCTTCCTGGCTCTGAGGCCTTGGCCAAATTGCTTCTCTCTCTGAGCTTCAGTTTTCCCTTACAAAATAAGAACTCTAAATCTTCCTGGATTTGTCCCAAGGATTCAAAGTAGCAATATAGGCCAGATCCGGTGGCTCACGCCTGTAATCCTAGCACTCTGGGAGGCCGAGGTGGGTGGATTGCCTGAGCTCAAGAGTTTAAGACCAGCCTGAGCAAGAACAAGAACCCATCTTTACTAAAATTAGAAAAATTAGCCAGGCATAGTAGCATAGTGGCACATGCTTATAGTTGCAGCTACTCAGGAGGCTGAGGCAAGAGGATCACTTGAGTCTAGGAGTTTGAGGTTGTTGTGAGCTGTGATGCCATGGCATTCTACCCAAGGCAACAGGGTAAGACTCTGCCTCAAAATAAACAACCAACCCCCGCCCCCCCCCCAAATACCAACAAAGTAGCAGTACACAGAAAGCTCTGTGCCTTGGCTTGGGCTGGTCATTTGTGCTTCTGTGTGATAAGCTGAGGCTTCTCAGTGTGCATGCTACTTGCCACTCAGTTCTAATGCTGCCCCTGGCCCCTACCAGCAATTTCTACTGGGAGTTAGAACCAGACAGATCTTAGAGATGATCTGGTTGGCCGTGGTCACCTCACAGATGGGCTGACTGAGTTCCAGGGAAGGGAAGGCCCCGTGGTTATCCAGTGAGTCATCTGTTGGGGCTGGCTGTCCACACTGAGTTGTCTCATGGTGCCCCCTGCTGCCAGACCCCTGCCTTCCTGGCTGCTCCCTGGAGGCCCAGCAGCAGATCCACAAGCCTGCAAGTGCCCTTTCCCTGGGGAGCCAGGGAAGCCCCAGAGAGTAAATTCCGTGTCGGATGCTGTCAATGAATTCTCTCCCAGCCTGGTTTGGCTCAGCACAGGCTCACAGGCCATTCTTTGACAATGGGCAGACTACAGTGTGGCCCTTCCCTGACCATGCCTCCTTCCTCCCCTGTAGGAGACTGGCTTGGGCAGAGGCTGTCAACAGTGGGTGCCAGCCTGCTGCACTGAGCTCCTGCCCAGGCCAGAAGTGAGACAGGAGAACCCTGAAAATGCCTTCCAGCTCTAAGATGTGATAATCCCTTCAAGTCTATTTAAAAAAAAATCCTATAGAGGAATTATTTCCTGTGTGTAAACTAATAAGCACAGAGTTTAGATCCACTTTTTCCATGTTTCCATGGAGGTTGCCAGGCTGGACCAAGACAGAGAGGGCAGCCCTGCATGGCCAGGGGGCTCAGAAATCAGAGCAGGACGAGGAGGGAAACCAGCTAGAGCCCTGCTCACAGAAGGACCCTCAGTCACTGGTGGGCACTGGACCCAGACCCAAACGTCTCTACTACTTGCCAACTCAGAGAGCTCAGTTACCAGACTGCTCTGGGCCTCAGTTTCCTCAGCTGTAAGTTCGGGTAAATGACAGGACAGTATCTTTTAAAATTATTGCCAAGATTCAATTAGTGCCAAGATCAAAGCCCTTTGGCACAGTGCCTGGCATGCAGTGGGTGCTCGGTAAACAGCAGCAAAGACCACACTAGCTGAGTTACTGAGCGCCGCCCTGTGCAGGATGTGGTGCTCGGCACTTCGCCTGTCATGACTGATCCTCACAAAGCCCTGCAAGGTAGGGCTGAGGAAACTGAGGCACAGAGAGCTAAGTTCAGTTAGCTAATGAGTGATTGAACTGGGCTTCAAATCTAGGCAATTTAGAATCTACACTTTTAATCACTACTATAATTACAGTTATAATTACAATAAGAATTATAATTATTATTCCAAGAGGCAGTGAGCTGCCTGTCCCTGGAGGTGGCTGGGTGAGGCAGCGCAGGCCCCTGGGGCTCCTCCCTGCAGTGCAGGAAGGGCTGGGCGACTCTGGGCTGGCCTCCATTTGCCTTTCAGTGGGCCAGGGTCACGAGATAGTGGGGAGAAGATGGGAAGGAGACTCCCTGTGGAGAGTCTCTGTGCACACTGGGCCTGGGGGTGGACTTGGCTGCAGCTACAGGAGAGAGGAGTCTTGGGGGCCACTGTGGCCTCCCTGAAGACTTGGGAAGTCCTATTTTTCCCTCTCAGTTTCTTCCTGTCCCATAGGTCTCCCTTGGTGCTGGGGTGTCCCCAGCTTTCTGGGGGGCCAACTCCTAGGGTCAGAGCTGCCCTGCCCCTCTATCAGTCTGCTTGGTTAGGGCTGGTCCCTGCCGAAGACGATCCCCTCCCAGCAGTGGAAGGAAGAGCCCATTTCCCAGCCGTGCAGAGGCTGGGGGTGGCCGGTGGGGCGGGAGTGGTCCCCAGGCCCATTGTGTGGGACTGATAAAGTGCGGAAGCCAAGGTTAGAATGGGAGGAAGCCCAAGGCCCCAGGGCCCTTTCCCACGGGTGGGGGCCTCAGGCACTGCCTGGCCTGGGCGGTGTGACTACAACCTGTGTGTACACTGGGGTGACAGTGGTAACATGCAACCAGACAGTGCATATTGGTTACTGAGGGCCCCCTAGGTGTGGGACTGGGCCACAGGGACCACTCTGGCGAATCTTCCATGAGGTGGCTGTCATCATGCCTAAGCTATAGCTAAAAGAAACTGGAAGCCACAAGGCTAGGAAAATTCTCCAGAGTTGGTAGAAGCAGGATTTATATCCAGGCCTGGCTCCAACCACTAGCTCTGAATTCACACACCATATGTTGTATGCCTCTGTGTGCACGTACACACACGTGTGTTTACAACTCTGGTGGGGCAGCATTCTCAGGAAGGAGGCAGCATTTCCCCGGAGTCTTTTACACATACTGAAAACATTCGCATGTGCCCTGTTGCATTTGAGTAGTAGCATCCTCTGGTGGAGAAACATCGACCTTGAATTCAGATGCACATTCTAGCTCTGTTGCTTAAAGGCTGGGTATCCTCGGACAAGTGACTTAAATTCTCTGATCCTGTTTACTTTATGGATTCATTGTGAGGATTGACAAAGCAGGACATGTATTTTGCCCATTCCAGGGGCTGGCCTATATTATGAGCTCCATAAATGAAGATACAGTTCATCAGCCAGCCAGCCTCGAGTGGGTGCTCCACGAGGGAGTTTCCCCTGCTGGCATATTTGAACAAGCCAACTTCTTTTTCCAGAAATAAGAACACAACATTTTAAAGCTTGGCTCATCATCTTTATTTTACAAAGGAGGTGGGTCTCATGAGAAGTCAGAGCTGAGACCCACATCTGGTGGCCTCCTGTTTGGGGACATGGGTTCATGCCCATCCTACTCTGATCTCCAGCTTTACTGCTCTCTCAGAGCATTTACTGGACTTCTGCTCCAGGGTAGCACTGCTGTGGGCCTAGGTCCCCTTGAATGAGGACACTAATGCAGAAGCAGGGAAGAGGGGACAGAGAGTGGCCCTGATCAAGATGGGGGACTCTGGTGCAGTCTGGAGGAGAGGAGGAGACCGGAGCATTCCAGACAAAGGCCAAAATGTGGGTTAGGGAACAGTCTGCAGGCTGCAGCAGGGCTCTGGGGATCCAGAGAGTGGGGCCTCCAGACTCGTCCTTCTCTGTCTGCTCCCCCATAGCCCTTCATCCATTCATTTAGTTGACAAATTTGATGGACTGAACTACTAATATGTGCCAGGCCCTGTGAAGGTGACCCAGGCAGATAGAGACCTTGCTTTTGGGAACTTAGAGCTGAGCAGAGGAGACAGGTTTGGAACAAGACATTTGGGGTGTGGTGGGGACCTCAAAAGAGGTGGGAGGGCACAACCTTGGTCTAGGAGGGTTTTCCAAAGGAGGAGGCATTTAAGTTGCTTACCTGAGGTCTAGGTCTCACCTGAAGCTGGGTCTTAGGAGGGAAGAAGGGTAGGAGAGTCACAAAAGCATTCTGCATGGAGGAATGGCACGTGCAGAGGCCTGGAGCGAGGGAGACAAGGCAGGTGAAGACAGTCTGTTTTGCAGAAAGGCAATGGAGAAGGTTGCTGGAGCTGGGGCCAGGCTGGGGAAACAACTGAAGGAGTTGGAACTGGTGTTAAAATGGGCCTTTCTGCCCCCATCCTATGATGGTAGACCCTGACCTGTTGAGTTAGGACACTCCTGGGGGAGCAAGGGAGCCATGGAAAGCTGTTAGACAAGGCAGGTGCTCTCAGGCCTGGATAATGATTCACTTTACACTCTGCTGACCAGTTCCAGGCCTCCTTTGAGTGTCAAAATCCAGTTAATTGTTATGAATCCTGATTTTAGAAATTAAGGAACAGAGAGGCTCAGAGAGGGACAGTGATTGGCTGAGTTACAAAGTGCAAGGCTGGCTGGAGTCTTCTTTTCTGGCCTATCCCCCTGCCTGCCACAAAGCCTGTCTGAGAAATAAGTGCCATCTCCCTGGCTTCTTCCCAGAAAGCTGGGTTCCTGTTAGCCCCAGGAGGTGACCCCTTTGGCTGGAGGCTCTACCAAGCTAATTACACACCGTGGACAAGCTGTTCCCAGTACTGGGGTCTCCCTCCCTTACCTGTTGTGCGAGAGGTGGGGTTTATGGGGTAGGGAGGGCTGGTGGCAGAAGCTATTGGATCCCTGAACCTCTCTACTTGAGCAGCAGCCCTGGGATGTACAAATTGCATCATGTGTATCTTTCTCCACAGATGAGCGGGGCCGACACAGTTGGGGATGATGATGAAACCTCCCGGAAGAGAAAGAGCAAAAACCTGTACGTTGGAGAGCTCCACCATCCTCGTGGTCAGGGAGTCCCCGCATTCCTCTTCTTCCTCTGCCCACAGGCTTGTCTACCCTCTTAAGGGTCCAGGTGGGGGGAGGAGGCTACGTCTAGTCCCACCCACTGCCCCGTGGAACACCTTGGGTCAGCAGGATCCTGACCATTCATGCAGGAGGCAAGGTGCTGCTTTAGCACCTGGAAGACACAATGAGCCAGAGGCAACCAGCCAGATTGCATTGGCCCCAGCCCAGCCTCTGAGCCAAGCAGTGGCCAAGTGGACAACTCCTTTGCTCCCTCTGGGCTCATGAATGACCTGAGAAAGGGTTGAAATGATGGGTTCCTGTTTCTTCTGAGCTCTTGAATGTCAACCCTCTTGAGCATTGCCAGGAGGGGGCGCTGCTGGCTCATCTACTGTATCTAGTGCTTCCAAGCCTTTCCAGCATGCTCTGGCCCCCTTATATTTGTGGAGGTACCAATTAAAAAGTTGTGTGTGGACAGTTCTCCCCAAGGCCCTGTAGAATAGGGGAGGTCCAGGGGGAGGCAAAGGGTACAACCTCCAGGGAGCCCTCCCCCACCCATCCAGGTGCTATAGCACCCAGGCTTGGGCAGGAATTGGGCCTGGAGGAGGAGGACAGGAGTCCTTTCCAAGTGTTTCTTGAGACCCTCTTCCCTGCCCTTAACCTTGGCTGGGGTCCACTTGCCTAGAAACCCTTTCTAGCTCCAGATCCTCTGACCTTTCCAGTTTTCTGCAGCAACTGTAGGCATTTCTGATTTTGTAGCCAGGAACAACTGCACCTTCTAGGCAAGGTGAAATGCACAAAGAAAAACAGCCCTTTGCATCCCTAACCTCTCTTAACATTCGTAGGATGGGGAAGAGTCCATTCAGCACCAGAGCTCCTGTGAGTGATGATCCCAGGAGTTGGGAGCAGTGCATGGCAGTGGGGGACAGGCACCCAGGGTGCTGGAACTGCCCTATCCAGCAGACACCAGCCTTTCAGAGTAGGCACTGCCTTTTAAGTTGCCTGAAGCTCACACTCTTAAAAGCTTAGGTGTAGACTCTTAGCATCTGGGATAATAATAAAAATAATTACTGACATTTATTGTGCCAGGCACTGTTCTCTGTGTGCTACATGTATGACCTAATTTAATCTTTAGCAATACTTTTGTTTTATATTTGCTTTTTTCTTCTTTACCTTATCCTTATTTTACAAGTGAGTAAACTAAGTGCAAAGAGGTCAAGTTGCTGTCTACATCACAGAGCAAGAAAGTGCTAGAGCTGGGATCAGGCAGACGCTGGTAAAGCTGTGACGAGAAACCTGACAAAGGGCACACATCTGGCAACTCCTGGAGCTGGGACTTAGACCCTGGGCTGTGTAGCTCCAGCCTCCACCTGCTAACACGTCCCTTCCTTGTACCAGGTGTCCCCTCGGTCTTAGTGCTGTTTTAAGAGTCAATAGCTCCAAAAGTATAGATGCTACAAACTTGCAGAACACATTTGAAAGTTTAATTATTTAAATTTCTTTTACATTTACGTCACTTTGTGATTTCTGAATAATACATCTTTTCTTTTAATTTTTAGTTTTGGTCAGCATTTTCCATCTTCAGAAGGATAGAGACCGAACATTAAAATGAAAAAATGTATTATTCAAAAATCATGAACCTAAATATACGCACACAAAAATTAAGTAATTAAACTTTCATGCGAAGCTCTTGTACATTCATTGGATTTGTACTCTGAAGTTACTCAAGCTTGAAACTGCTAAGACTTGTGGGACCTGCTATATATCCCTGGGTGGATAAATCCAATGCCAGGGCCTGAGGCCAGAGGCTGGCTGGCAGGGGCTCTTCTTTGGGAGGTGCCCAGTGTGGGGGTCTGAGGACAGGAGTGTGAAGCTTTTAACCCCTTTCTTACCAGGATCTTTGGCAGATGCTGAAATCTGCTGCCTCCTGGGGGACAGTGATGGTGAGCAGCAGTGGTAGTGGTGTGGCTAAAAATGGTTCTGGGCTAAAAATAGCCAGACCTGCCACCCTGGTAGGCAGAGCCTGCCCTCCTCCCTCCTTCCCTCTCAGCAATTTGCTGACTTGCTCCTCTGCCCTCCCCCACCCTCGTTGCCATGGTAACGGGGGAGGCCGGTCACAAATAACTGGGTCTGGCTTCCTGCCAGCGCCGGCCCCAGAGGCTGTCCCTTGCAGACACATGCCCCTTTCACAGCTCCCTCTCAGGGTTGGCCTGGAGGAGTAGTTTTTTCCGCTCCCTCTCCTGGTCCCTCCCATTTCCTGGCTCCTCCTGTCTGAGTCCCAGTCCTGGCTTGTGCCTGGGAGTCCAGTCATCCGGCTGGGATTCCAGCGAGCCTGTCGCTGCAGACTGCACCACTGCTGCCCGCTGCCCCGGGCGCGGGGGTTGGGGACAGGAGGCTGAGGGTTGCTCCCTGCAAACTGTCCTGGGGTCCTAAGGTGGGGGGCTCTACAGAGATGCTCCGAGGCATGTACCTCACTCGCAACGGGAACCTCCAGAGGCGACACACGATGAAGGAGTAGGTGCCCTCACCCCAGCCTACACCCTGCCACCTGGACTCGAAGGGGCTGAGTGTGCCCAGTGAACCAACTCCCTTTTCTGCTTCTGCCCACAGAGCCAAGGACATGAAGAACAAGCTGGGCATCTTCAGACGGCGCAATGAGTCCCCTGGGGCCCCTCCGGTGGGCAAGGCAGACAAAATGATGAAGTCATTCAAGTAGGTCCCCCAGCACCGCTCAGGCACTCACTGGCCCGGGGTGGGGGAAGAAGAGCTGAGTGGTGGGGTTCAGGGGGAAGGAGTCTGTTGGCTCAATCTAGCTCTGGGGGGATGGAGGCTCTAGTAGAGGGAGCAGCTGCCCTGGGGGCAGATGGCCAGGCAGGCTGGAGGTGGAGGCTGGATGTTATATTGGCCCCAAGAGAGGGAGTGGTCTTCCCTCCTGGGTTCCCCAGACAGGCTTGGGCTCAGTTGCAGCCTGGGCCCAGGCAGCTGACAAAGGCTGCCCAGACCCAACCTCCCCCTTTGCCCAAGCCTCACGGTCCCCTCTCTGTGTTCCCTCCCTCACCCCCCAGGCCCACCTCAGAGGAAGCCCTCAAGTGGAGTGAGTCCTTGGAGAAGCTGCTGCTTCACAAATGTAAGTGGGGGCTTGTGTCCCCTCCCTGTGTTCTCTCTTTCCTTCTTTCTTATCCACCTTATCCAGACACAGAGAGTGTGTCTGTCCAGAGAGGCCTGCATCCCTCTCTCTTGAGCCCAGTCAGGTGTCCTTGCTGCTAGGGAGAGCTGGGCCTGAGCTGAGGCCCTTGGTCTGGCCTTGGAACCGGCTTCTGCCAGCCCCTCCCTGCCTGTGGGAGCTGGCACTGCCTGCTTAGAGGCTCTTGGGACCTGTGTGCTCAAACCCATATTCCTAGAATAACGATAAACAGCTCCCAGTACTAAGGATTTACACTGGGCCAAATGTGTCTGCCGTCTCCTGGGCAGGATCCCATCAGATCCACCTGTGGCTCCAGGACACGGGATTGATGGTCCCCACTTTACAGATGAGGATACTAAGGCACAGAGACGGGAGAGACCTGGCCAAGACTCATGAAGAGGCAATGGCAGGGCTGGGACCACAGCTGGTGGTCCTACTAAGTTCCTAGCATGTCCATCCTCAGGCCCCAGGAGGGTAAACTGGGGTGTCTTAAGGGCAGTGGGGGTGGCTCTGCATCTCACTCCAAGGTCTGGGCTTCTCCTTACAGATGGGTTAGCGGTGTTCCAGGCCTTCCTTCGCACTGAGTTTAGTGAGGAGAACTTGGAGTTCTGGCTGGCTTGTGAGGACTTCAAGAAGGTCAAGTCACAGTCCAAGATGGCAGCCAAAGCCAAGAAGATCTTTGCAGAATACATTGCGATCCAGGCGTGCAAAGAGGTAAGACCTCAGGCCCCCAGCTCCCATTGTCCCGTGGCCCTTCAGCTGTAAGGTGGCAGCCAGCAGCTCACGAAGTGGGGAGACCTGTGTGCCCATGGAGAAGAGGCAAGCCAGGACCAGGGGAAGAACAGAATCCTGATTAATAATAAAAATGGTGGCTTGGCACTGATAGCTCAGTGGCTAGGGTGCCAGCCACATACACCAGAGCTGGCGGGTTTAAACCCTGCCTGGGCCTGCCAAACAACAATGACAATTACAACAAAATAGCCAGGCATTCTGGCAGGCACATGTAGTCCCAGTTACTTGGGAGGCTGAGGCAAGAGAATCGCTTTAGCCCAGGAGTTTGAGGTTGCTGTGATGCCATGATACTCTAACAAGGGCAACATAGTGAGACTCTGTGTCAAAAAAAAAAATGGCCGCTGTCTTTAGCACTGCTGTGTTCTGGGCACATGCCAAGCCCTTTATGTTAAGCCCTTTGTGTATGTGCTCTTGTTATAACAACCTGTGAACTAGATTTTGCTATTATCTTCATTTTAAAAATGCAGATACACTCTCAGGGAGCTTAATCATAGGAGCTGACATCAATTACTGAATAGTGCCTACTGTGTGTAAGGCACTTTATGTGGGTGATCTTGCTTTATTTTCACAACTCTTTGAGGAATTCTATCCAGTAGTTAAGACAAGTGAGGTTCAGTGCAATTAAGTGATTTGCTTTAATTCCTACTCCCAGGTGTGGCACTCCTGGGCTTTGAAACTAGGCAGCCTGACCCTAGGGATATTGTTTCAGGCCCTATGAACTCTGCCATCCTTACAATAATGACTGAACCAGGATTTGAATCCTCTGGCCTGAGGGCCTCCAGGCAACTTTGGAGATGAGAGGCTGGCTCGGTCCCATTCCCAGTGTCTGGCCCCTCAGGCAGCCCTGACTTGGTCACCCTCTGTCTCCACAGGTAAACCTGGACTCATACACACGGGAGCACACCAAGGACAACCTGCAGAGTGTGACTCGGGGCTGCTTTGACTTGGCACAGAAGCGCATCTTTGGGCTCATGGAAAAGGACTCATATCCTCGTTTTCTCCGCTCTGACCTCTACCTGGACCTTATTAACCAGAAGAAGATGAGTCCCCCGCTTTAGGGGCCAATGGAGTAGAGCTCAGCATTCACACCAGGCAGGCTGGGCCCCCTGCCCACCTGCCTCCCTACCCCCTGCGACGGAGGGGGCAAGCAAGCCCCCAGAGGCTATGTCTCTGGACAGAGAGATGGACATTTGGATGTGAGGCCTGGACCAAGAGAGGCCCGGCCTACTTGGAGGAATAGAAGGACTGGCCCGGTTGGGTCCCCGCTGCCCCGGTACGAGGGAGGCCCAAGGGTCCTGGCAGGTCAGGGGCCCCATCTAAGCCAGATATGGAGCTGCCGCTCCCTGCTGCGGAGACTTCGGAGACTTTGTGTTGACCAAGTTCCTTAAAGAACTGGCTGGTGGTGCAGGAGGCCCAGGCTTGGGCTCTGGGCCCCTCCTAGGGGGCCACTGGGACTCACAGCTCAGACCCTTGCCTTGGGTTTTATTTATTTAAACAGTAGTTGGATGCTTGGTGCGTCGTCCTGTGATAGGAAACCCTTGCCTCATCAGTTTTCCTAATTTACAAGTGCAATATTTTAACCAATGCCTTGTGAAAAGCCACCTTGCAGAGGTGGACACCATTTTTCAGTTTCAGGGGATTTGCTGGTCTCAGCACCAGTGGCAGGCAGCTGTGCCTTCTGGATTGATGAGGCCTGGTGGGACACTGCAGTCTGACCACACACAGAAATATGGTACCCCCTGGGTAGAGTGTCCCTTGGGGGCTCTGGGAAAGCATGGCACCCTCAGACCACACAGTAGCCAAGTTCTGGAGCAAATAAAAGGCCTGTGTTATTGTTCTGGGTGCTTTCTGTGTGTTCCTGGTTTTAAGACTTCCTGGAGAGCTGGGGCTGGGGGGTTGGTCCTTGACCCAGCTGCTTCCCTCTCTCACCATCCCCTGCCCCCATCCTGGAGTCAGATACCCAATAAGCCAGTGCAAGCTGCTCTCTAACCGCTTCCTCAGTGCCAGGTCCCAGGCCACGACTGTTCTAGTGGTCATTGCATTACCTCCCTAAGCTTGGAAGGTAGGACTTATCCCCATTTCATGGATAAAGAGGGTGAAGCACAGACAGATAAGCTGACTTGTCCAAGGCCACATAGCCTGCAGGTGGTAGAGACAGGGTTCAGCCTAAGCCTGATAGCTGTGCTACAAAATGCAGTCTCATTTGGCCACCAGCTGGCTACATGTCCTTCAGGAAGTTCTTTGGCTTCTCTGCCCCACCACACCCTGAGGTTCCAAGGGAACTTTCAGGTGGTACAGGGCGGTTGGTGGAGGTGGACAGGGCCAGGATCTCGGGCAAATGCTCCATGGTGGTAGGCTCATGGAGGCTTTCTAGGGGGAGGTGACAGGAGATAGGACTCGCAGAGAGTCCTTCTGTGGTTTTCCCCCTGCTTAGTTTCCCCTCCTGCTTAACAGGAGATGCAAATTTAGGAAAGGCCTGTTCAAAGGCATGCTTCAGGGGAGGACTTGGACCACTCGCTAAGAAGTGAGTAGAAGAGGCCCAGAACCCAGGCTAAGCTGATGCCCAAGATGACACCTTCCAGGGTCCAGGATCTGGGGCCAGGGCACAGGCCAGGACAGGGATTGGCTCATCTGGACTAAGGTGAAGTTGGATGCAATTGGTAGAGGGGATGGGCCCTATTTCCCTGAATCTTGTTTCTTAACTGGGGTTCTGGGGTCAGGTCTGCTCAGTGGGGACTTGAAGACACAGAGGACACGGGGCCATGCAGCTACCCTTCTCCCTACCTCTCCTTGGTGGTCTCCCAGGGCAAGGCTACACCTGTTTGCCCCCCACACAGTGAGAGGATCAGAATTGGTGGTCTCTGGAGGCTATCAGGGAGTTTGGGGGCTGACCCCTTCTCAGGGTTGCAGGAAGCTCAGGCTGGGGCCTGGGTGTGGAGTGGGTCCTTGCTCTTGCTCCCACTTACTCCAGTGGGGGGGGGGGTCAGGAGAAGGGTGGACGGAGGGAGAGGTGAGCCGTCTGATAACCTTTCTGATTGCACCTGACTTTTCCTCCCCAAGTGCAAATAGGATTGGCTCCTCCTGAAGCTTGTTTTGGAAAAACTTGTGTGCCAACAGTAGCCAGGGTCAGTAGATAACCCCCTTCCCTCTGTTCCCAGGCAGCCCCACCCCTCCAGGACTGGCCTTTACCAAACTGCATCAGAGTCAGATGTGAAGTTTTCTGTCTCCAAAGGTTGCTGGAGCTTTGGAATCTGGCGGTCCTGAGTTTGAGTATCACCTTTGCTACTGACTAGCTCTGCAATCTTGGGGAGTCACTTGTTTCTCTCTGAGCCTACAAAATATGGGAAGAGATATTGTCTTCTTAGCACTGGATGAAGAGCCAGTGAGCGAGTCTGGCAAGGACCTAACCTGAGGCCAGGGATACAGAAGGTGCTCGGTACACGTTGGCAGCCTTTCCCCCAAACACCTGAGTGTGAGCCCCTCCAGCCAGCGCGTTTGGCTTCATATACTGTGAAGGGCTTTCCCACTGCAGAGGCCTGGGGCCTCACTGAGGCTGGAAGAGTCAGAGAGGAGTTTTGCTTCTAATTCTGAGCAGGAGCACCTGCCAGGTTTCTTCTAGGCCTGAGATTTGGGGGCCTGAGAGCTGGAAACTGGGGCCCAGAGAGGCAGAACTGGGTCAGAGCCGAGGACTTCCTGGCCTGACCTAGCCTCTCAGTGGCATCTTCTGCTTGGAGGAGCCACTGGGTCCATGAAGAGTTCTCCTCCTCCTTTAGCTTCTGGGGCAGTGATTTTCAATCAGTGTGCTGTAAGAGGATCTTAGGTGTGCTGCAAAAAATTTTAAATATTAATTTACATTATTTTCAAAAGAAGTTCAAAGCACAGTAAGTACATTCTTTTTTTTACTCTCTTTTGATCAACGTAATTTAAGTGTGCAACAGAAGTTTAACTATAGGTTCAAGTGTGCATGAGATAAAAAAACGGTTGAAAAACACTATTCTGGAGATTCAACCTTGGGCCAGGCCCTATACCTTCCAATCCTAGTTGCCATGGAGACCAAAGTCCAGGAGAACAAAGTCAGGCAGATGGAATTCCCATTTTGGAAGGCCCCACCGCCTGGTTTCCATTACTCACAGCCTGGTTCCCTTGGCTTCAGAGTGGTTTGGCTGTGCAGAGCAGCTGGAGAACGGACTGGAAAGGTGCCTGGGTTCCCCTGTCCTGGGCCCTGCCTGGGCTCCCTGGAGGACCTTGGCTATGTCCCCAGACCCCGTATGCCTCAATCCCCTCACCTGTGCAGTATGCTATATGGGCTGGTCTCCATTTTTTTTTTCTTTTGCAGTTTTTGGCCAGGGCTGGGCTTGAACCCACCACCTCTGACATATGGGGCTGGTGCCCTACACCTCTGAGCCACAGGCGCCACCCCATTTTTTTTTCTTTTCGAGACAGAATTTTACTATGTTGCCCTTGGTAGAGTGCTGTGCCACCACAGGTCACAGCAACCTTAAACTCTTGGGCTTACATGATTCTCTTGCCTCAGTCTCCCAAGTAGCTGAGTCTACAGGCACCCGCCACAACACCTGGCTATTGTTGTTGCAGTTGTCATTGTTGTTTTAGCTGCCTTGGGCTAGGTTGAACCCACCAGGCTCCGTGTATGTGGCTGGTGCCCTAACCACTGAGTTACAGGCACTGAGCCTGGTCTCCATTTTTCTTCCAATTCGAAGAAGGAGCACGCTCGTTGGCCTCTATCTGGCAATTCTAGGCTGGTGAATGTGGAACATCAGCACTGTGAGGTCATTATGCTCCACTCCCACAGATGGAAAGACTGAGGTGCAGGGAAGGGAAGTAGCACCTTAGCAGAGGTGAAACAGCTTGAAATAAGGCCCTAGGGCTCAGCCCCTGGCTCCACCACTTACTACTGGCTCTGAGTTTTTGAATAAATCCTGTAACCTCTCTGTCTCAGTTTTCTCATCTATAAATTGTGAATATTGGCACCTAAGCCAGAGTTTCAATGACTAAGGTCACGCATATGGCAAGTTTAGTTCTGCACCTGGCATGGGGTATATGCTCTTTAATTAAATGTGAGGGTTACAGGGTGAATGGCAAAAGCCATTCTCCAGTTGCCCAGGCTAGGACTCTGGCCCCAGATTTTTGTCCTTCCAGGAATGGTTTTGCTAGAGGACAAGGCCAGCCTGTTCCAGGGAGGAAGTCAGAAACAGCCTGTCCCCTGATTGCTGCCCAGTCTCGGCCTGGCTAGGAGCAGTTGGGGTCAGCTGGCAAATGGGGTGTGGATAGGTGGAGAGGGAAGAGGGCACAGTGGTGCCTCTTAATTGGATCCCAGTGGTGAGGCGGGGGATTCAGCGTCACCTGTGTCAACTGCAGCCAGACTTCTTGTGGGCGAGTCAAGTCCCGTGTGCTCGTGGCTGTTGCCTTGTGAATGGCACTTACTCATGGCTGGGCTTGGGCCAGAGGTGGCAGCCTAGACTCTCCAGCCTGGAGACCATCTCATCCAAACTGCTGCTCAGTGCTTGGGCCCCTTCTTGGGTTTCTACTTGCATCTCTCCCATGGCAAGGAGCTCAGGAGGGCCTGTGAGCCTCTTGGGGGGTTCTAAAGTTCTCTCCATGTCAAGCTGGGATCCAGGGTTGTGGGAGGGGACAATCACTATTAGTTCCCATAGGTCTCCTTGCCCAGGCGACCACCTGGAGACCCTCTAGTTTCTCCAGCCTAATCCCTCCCTCCTGTGCTCACCTTCACCCAACTCCTCTGAGCTCCTGACCCCACCTCACTGCCTTCTCATCCACTGGTCCTTTGCCTCTTGTACCCTCCCCTGGTCCCTCCTGCTGACACCCTACCTTAGAAGGCCTCTCTGATTCAGGACTCTTCCCCACTGAGCCTCAGGTCCCTGACTACACCCCGTGGCCCTGCCTCTCCCCCAGAGTTTGCAGGCCTTCAAGCAACCGACCCTGGGTCTCAGAGAAGCCACTTGTGTGATGTTGTTTTGGTTACAATTGGCAACATCTGTGGAACATCTGGCTTTGCCTGTCCTCTTCCTGGCAAGGCCAGGAAGGAGGGAAGCGGGGTATCCTGGGCCCCTGCACTGTGGCATCCCTTCCTCGAGAGAGGATTGAGGGACAGCTGTGTGTGCTGTGGGTATAGATGGAGTAGGAGAGTGGCAGGGTAGGGCAGGGTCATACCAGGCAGTAGATGGAAATAATAGCTCCAGCTATACAAGAGGCATGCACCAAGCACATGCCACGCCTTATCTCCTTCAGTCTTCACAACGGCCCTGGGAGGAAAGTCTGAGTATTATTTTCATTTTACAAATGAGAACATCAAGTTTCACAGAAAGCAGACAGCACATCATCGCTGAATAGGGACTGGGATCTCCATCCCTAACTTCCAGGCGGCCTTAGCTGCACCTTTCTGCCAGTCTGCGAGGTGTGATGGCTCTGCTGGAGCAGCAGAAGGGAACTTTTGACCCAGGATCTCATTGGCCTGGGGGCAGAGCTTTTCTAAGGAAGGCCAAGTAGGGTGAGCTTACCAGGGTGGAAGTATTTTGTCCTGAGTTGATTGTCAATTCTCAGTAGGGTTGTGTTGACAAGTTGCCTTACCTCTCAGAACCTCAACTGTTTCACTTATGAAATGGGAATAATATCTTGGGGCTCATGTGGGCTCAGTGACATTGTGAATCCCAATAGAGTGGGGTTTGGGTCTAGGCTTGGCATGGGCTGTGCAGGTCCTACTTGCCTGCTGTTTCAAGGGTAATTGAATAGAACCTGCTCTGTCAGATAACTGGCCTTTGCAGCAGTTCCAGGCTCTGCTCTTAGATCTGTCCCAACCACCC